CTACGTTGGATCTCTTCATACCTCTATGATAGATCACAAAGGGTAATGTTTAAAAATACTATTTTTGACGTCATTGATGTTACTTCAGGAGTCCCGGGCCGATTTTGTTCTTGCTTTTTATATTTCTACAGATATAAAATTTTCAAAAATTTGTATGTACGCAGATGATGTGAAACTTTATAAATCGTACGTATCAATCAAAGAAAAGCATTTGCTGCAAGCAGACTTAAACAGCATGGCTAACTGGTGCTATGTAAATCGTATGCCTCTAAATCTGGAAAAATGTAAAGTAATGTGCTTCTCGCGAAGAGCTATTCTTTCATATACGATAGATAACCATAATTTAGAACAAGTATACAATTTTGTGGTCAAAAGAATTTAGAGACCCTTATATCACTAAAATCCTGTTTACAACATTAGTTAGACCGATTCTAGAATACGGTTCGGTTGTTTGGAATCCAAGGTATCAAATTTAGACTTGTCAGTCGCAGAGAAATGCTTGGTACAATTTTTATGGTTAAATTACTGACAGGCTCAATTTCAAGTCCGCTTTTTCTGGGTGAAGTTAGCTTTAAAGTTCCCTCCCGTGTACCAAGACACTTTTATCCCCTATTTTTGAAAACTTGTAAAACTAATTCTGAATTACACGAGCCACTCCGTTGCTTATGCCAGGATTTTAACTCCATTCCAGCATATTTCATACATCTGATTCGCTATTCAGCATTAAGAAAGCGATACCAACCCATCTCAATAAATCAATTATTAACATAAAGATATAAAATCAGTTGATGAATTTAGTTCTGTAGCTGAACAGTTTTAGACCTCGACATTTAACAAACTCCGGCCTATCGTGACTCGGCGCAAGAAATTGAAAATATTGGTTCCGTACGTCATGCGGACTGCGCCCCTCGTGCGGATGGGCGGGAATGGAGGGTAAAAACCGGTGGGATTATTAAAAAAAAAAAAAGGTCAAAATATCGGACTCCTACATTTTGCTCTAAGAAATTTCCGTTGGGATTCTCAATTTAACCTTCCGCCTTATACGGGCCGATTAAAACTTATTAATCTTCCTACACTTGTCAGTCGCAGGGAAATGATTGGTACAATTTTTATGGTTAAATTACTGACGGGCTCAATTTCAAGTCCGCTTCTTCTGGGTAAAGTTAGCCTTAATGTCCCCTCCCGGGTATCAAGACACTTTGTCCCTATTTCCGAAAGCTTGTAAAACTAATTTTGAATTGCCCGAACCACTCCGTTGCCAGGAATTTAACTCTCGTTCCAGCACATTTGATATATCTGGATCGCTTTTCAATAACTAATTGACTAACATAAATACATAATAACCAGCTAATGAATTTCGTTCTGTTTTAGACCTCGCAACTACTATTTTGTGGACAACTGTTATGCTTATTATTGTTGCTATTAAGGGTCAAACTTTATTAAACAAAATTTAATGGGCTAAAAAACTGCATGATGAACTTTTTTCTAGAGAGCGTAAGTAAAAAGTGCAATATTTGAATGAAATTTTGCAGAATTTTCTTAAATTTTGCACAAGTTTTGGAACTTTGAAATTTGGGGTTTTTGTTGTAGAATTAACCACATTTTTACAAAAAATTTGCGAAAAATAAAATATTCCAAAAATAGTTGCCCGTTGTAAAAAATTCGCTGTACCTAAACTTTATTGACTGACTGTATGTAAATGCATGTGTGTGCACCTATCTATTAATATCGTTGAATTATTTTAATATCTATTGCAAAATTTTATACAGACAAGACTAAAAAGTAGAAAATAAATGGTATAAAAAAACTTTTTAATATACAACGCTTTTATAAATGGACTAAAAAGTAGAAAATAATATTTCTCAGTCCCATAGAATTTGTTTTGATAACTTTTGATTTTGAAATTTTAGCAAAAGTCGTTATAAACAATTTATGAGATTGAAAATGAAAAGCGTGGGGCGCATGCAATACAAAGCATTATATTTAATTGACAATAGGCAAACTACATAACATATACCTAACATTTCTACAGAGAAAGTACAAATTTGAGATCGATTTTAAGCGGTCGTTACTCATATATCCACATACATATGAACATATATTACCCTTCATATCAATTCAGGTGTCTATTACATGCGCCCCACGCTTTTCATTTTCAATCTTATAAATTGCTTATAACGACTTTGCTAAAATTTCAAAATCAAAAGTTATCAAAACAAATTCTATGGGAATGAGAAATATCATTTCTACTTTTTAGTCCATTTATAAAAGCGTTGTATATTAAAAAGTTTTTTTTAAATTTATTTTTTATATTATTTTTTATTTTATTTAACGTTTGGAAACTTTTTTGATTCATCTTTTTTCTTTCACTTTCAGTTTCTCAAATCTTTAGTTTTTCCTGTTTAAAAAAAATATTTTTTTCATTTTGTTTAGTTTTTAGAAAACTTATTGCTAAACGATAATAACACTATTAGCACATCTTGCAATTAGTTATTAGAAATACAGAAAAGGGCTTTCAAGATAGTTGCCGAAATGTTAAGACTTCCGTCTCTCGAAAGACTGAGGTGAGTTGAAAGACAAATGCCAGAATTGACCTGTTATTGGTCTTGTTTGTCTTTTAGCAAACAATTTAATTAAATAAATTTTTTTTTTCCTTTTTAAAGCAATAAAATCTATAAACCAAAAGAAAATTAAATCAAAAAAGCAAAAAAATTCAATATAGTTTATTATATCGGCTAACACGCACATAGATCATCTTGCTTACGCTGATGATATTTTAATTTTTTCTAAGACTAAGGCCTTGACGCAAGTAAAAATAATTGTTTCTAACATACTAAGCGATCTAATCAATTGGTTCTAAGTATTCTTTAGTTCATATAACTACACCCGTAAATGTAATTAGGGCTATTATATTAGGAACAGTTGACTTTAGACTCGTAATTTACGGACACTGCGCGAAAAAAAACATCTTAAATGCGGCAGCGTACTGACTTATTGTCTCTTCCGAGGATTGACGTTTCGTAAAAAACCTGTGGCGCTCTATTACCATATTGACGTTTGGAGTGAAATACATTTCCAGTTTGCTCCATAAGTCGCCATATTGGACGCTGTCTATATCGACATTAAACGAAGTGAAAATGTTTAGACATTCTGCACCCAGATGGTGCAAGAGAAGTGCATTTTTTCTTTGCTCGGTTTGATTATCTAAAGCAGATGCACGCAGAAATATTTTGAACTGCGTACTCCAAGCCTTCCATTCCGCCGCCAGATTTGACGCTCTTATGTTCAAAGGTGCTATGGTAGTGGCAATAGATAGCACTCGCTGTGCCTCTGACATGGTAGCGTTGCCTTCATCTACCATTTTTAATTTTTTATAAACGTAGTATATACTATTTTTATTTAATAGCTTAGCTTTGGTTGCGCGTTTTTAACTTTTGAGTTATTTCGTTGTGCAACTATTTTAATTGACCCCACCTGACGCCATGTGTTATGTTCAAGCTTACTTTTTGAAAGAACCTTTATTTTATATCTTCAATATAGGGATGTGTTTTACAAAGTTCAGTAATAGTACAAAGTAATCGATTATTAGTAAAGGTTAATGCTAACGTTGTGTTTACACCACAGTAATCTTACAACACCTGGGAGCTTATTTTCACAGACGGTTCCAGATATGATACCAGCTGTTATTTTGCAGTATCAAAAGGCATAGGTGTTTCCATTTCGCATCGATGCTTTTACCGCGTACTGCTCAGCATTTACAGCCGAATCAGCTGCATTGCTAAAAGCTGTACGTTTCGCCTCTAAAAACGAAGAAAGTTTCGTCATATGCACGGACAGTAAATCAGCCATCGAAGCCTTTTTAACAGTGCTAATGATTATCATATAATTTCGAAATCACGTGAAATACTCTTTCGACACAAAAACACCATTAAAATTATATGATTATCTGGGCACGTCGGAATAGAAGGGAACGAGTTTGCACGCCATGATTTCTGTGTTAAAACTTACTTCAACACAGTATTTAAATCTAAAGAACTGACATATTCATTGCTCTGCAAAACCTCCTGTCAGCAATTTTTTTTATATAAATAGGTATAATTCGAATTGCAATAACCCCTAGCTGGACTTTAAACTAAAATAAAATGAATTAAAAGTAAAAAACTAGTTTTAATATATAGCGTGAATTTTTAAGACAAGCGGAGGTACTTCAAATTATTAACCTTTTTAATTATAGCTGTCAAAACAATTTTTTTGCTCTCCTGAAAAATTGAGTTTTTGCAGATAGAGGGTATTGAACATAAGCCCTGGATATGTATCTCGGTAACCGTTCTACCAATTTGTACCAAATTCGGTAAGGTTATTGTGCTCGCCACATAGAAGCAAAACGTTATTGAAATCGGACTAAATTTACGGCCACTTTTCATATATCGGTTAATTTCAGAAATGCTTGAAACTTCTATGTTTCGAAATTTAAGGACGCTAATTTAATCAAAATTGATAGAAACAACAATCCCTTGAAACGAAGTAAACATATATTTAATACTTGCGCCGGGTATTTAATGTTAGGCTCCGCACGAACTTTGATTTTCTTACTTGTTACTTTTATTTTTGATCGAAGAAATAAAGGTCATAATTCAACTTTTATATTTGCCTGAAAAAATAAAAGTCGAGTTTTAACTATTATATTAGACTGTAAAAATTATTACATTTTACAATTTTAGCTTTTATGTTTGACCAAGAAAACTAAATTATATTTTAACTTTTGTATTTGATTGAAAAAATAAGTCAAATTTTAACTTTTACTTTTGACCGGAAAATATAAATCAAATTTTAAGTTTAGTTTTTGACAAATGCTTATTAACTCTTTTGAAAACAAGCTTAAAATTTACGATCCCTGCTTAAATTTTCTCAGATATACTTCCTACTCACCAAAATTGTCTCGCAATCGAATGAGCCGTTTAGAAAAAAGAAGTGAATTACCGAAAAATATTAATACTTACCTCTTTTGGTATATCGGTTTCCCAAGAAATTCCATTAGTTGCTCGAACAAGGTCACGAAGGGAGTAAATTAATGCTCTTTTGCCATCATAGTAAAGTAGCACAGCAACTAATCCTCTTGACAATCCGGGGTGCTTAAACATTTCCCTTTGAGCAGTGCAAAGTAATTCTAGAGCCATCATTTCGTCAACATTGAACATGTCAGATATTATTAAAGTTTCGTCAATTAATTCTTTCGAAATTGGTACAGTTCTGGAATATTTTGATGTGGATACTCCATCTAATATTCCATTTTTTAATAGCTGCCGGTGTTTTTCATTTTTTTGCTGGAAATAATAGTAAAAATTAATAAAGGCATACCAATAATATATTAGTTTCAATCTAGAAGTACATAAACTTTACTACTTGCAGGGTTCTTATTAACCTTAACCTTCTTAACTCATTCATTTATTGTTATACTTTAATTAAATAGTTTAAAAAGAATGGTATGACAAAAGAAAAAGGTGAAAGATCTTTTTTCAGTCATACTTTACAACCTCATACCTCATGACTTGATTTAAAACAAAATGTAACGAATGAGTAGACATGTTTTCAATTGCAGCTATTTTTACAGCGATGAGTGATAAGCATCTTATTATTTTCGTTTTATGCTGTGAACAAATGAGATAGTGACTATATTTGTAAAGCATTTGATGAATTTGTTTCTCAATTTTAGACAAACAATGTATATCAAAATATTTTGTGCATGGCGGCTTTTTCGAATGCAAGTAGTTAAAATAACGTTAAGGTCCATTTTATGCTTTGGAAAAAAAATTTTAGCAAGTGACGGGTGGGACAGTATTTTGTGACAGATGCGACGAGTCACTATTGAGGATACATATATAGTTCGTGATTAAAATAAGCACTACTGATTTGATATTAATGGACCTTATTTAAACAATGTGATAGCTAAAGTATTTGTACGTTATGTTAAACAAAAACATTTTTTGCTGTGACGGGTAGGACATCCAATAAGCATTTCTTTTAACGCTAACAACTTTTCCATAAACGTAGTTTTGTAATAACTAACTACTATTTTAAAGTCCATGAGTTTTTCTTTGTTTGGAAAATTATTTTTTGCACTCTCACTTTCAATACACAGAAAGGTTAAAAAATACTAAAAAAATCTAAATAAAATAAACTAAATATTAAATAAAAAATACTAAATAAAAAAATATTATATCAGAGACAGTCGCAGAGTTGGTAGCTTAGCCGAATCATGGCCAGTCCTTATCAGCGGATGGTAGTGCAATCGTTTCTTTATCTGTGTATATTGGGCGAGTGCCTCTATTCCCCTGGTTCGGGCTGCTCGTTTACGGTGACCAAGAACTGCCGACCCCCTAATCCAGGGTGTTAAGCGACACCGTGCCCATTGGAGGGTTTGCAGCCAGGTGGTTTACCAGACCGGCTGTATTATAACGGCGTCTTCCTAATACCAGGCCGCCTCAGGCAGTAACGGTGTCCTTGCCGCGGCATGGGGTGCTGCGTCGTTGGGCAGGTGGTCGTATGAACAAGATGAATACAACTAAAACAAACCAAAACAAAAACATTAACGAAAAAACCAAAACCTCGAGCAGCGAAGGATCGTCTGTTCCGGCATTCAAAGCTGACTCTACCCCGGTTGGGGGTCATGAGGAGGCGAAGACATCTCTGGCTAAAGCCCCGAGTGGGGCCTGCACGGCCAGCGCCGTAGAGGAGCTGGCTAGCGATAAAGCTTCGAGCAGCGGAGGGTCGTCCAAGTCGATACCCAAAGCTGTCTCTGTCCCGGGTAGGATTTCTAGCCCTGCAGAGGCGAAACCGCCCTGCGTTAAGGGCTTAAGTAGGGTCTGCACGGTCGGTGTCTCAGGGGGGTCGAAGCCAGCTCCTTCTGGTATGTCGGCAATGGCGGCGGAATTCTGCCGGTAGCGGGTAGTGCCTGTGCGAAATCGCCCAGAGTATCTGGGGGTGTGGTGCGTGGCGGAACCGCCAGCACCAGCAGGGGCTTCTCGTCGCGTATCTTCAGAGCTTCGGAAACCTCGGATGGGCCAGCGCGGCGAGAAAGAACGGCTCGGAACGTCGCACGGCCGCCAAAATTTTAGAACGCTACGGCGATCAGTGTGCTATCAAATTACTTATCAGCATGCCCGAACGCTCGAGTGGGCTAAAACAGTGGTCGGCGATGCGGAGTCCGCACAGGGGACGGTAGCCGAAGGCGAGAATGCGCTATTGACTATAAAGCGGCAAAGATCGAGGAAGGGGGAAACCTCTACCATAAAAAAAACTTCGTACGGGGCCGGCTCCTACGTTTAGCGAAATCGCTAATCTTACCGGCTCCGTGGAATTAGGGGTCATGGACCGCAGCAGGGAGGACGGCGGCATCACTCACGAAGAGTGCAAGCGTGTAGCGGCCGCCATGTCGGCGGTATTTATGAGGGTGGTCAGGGGAAACCCAGGGCCACCGCCTAGGTGTGGGAGTACCGGATGGCACCACGGGCTGCATAAGCTCACGAGGTGCGCCGACGAGCGGTCGGCAGCGCTGTACAAGGAGGCAATATCCCTGGTGGGAGAGGTTTGGAAGGGTACCAAACTAGTGGCCGTGGAAAAGGTGGATCTTCCTATGCGCCCACGGGCTCGGGTATGGCTCCCTACCGAGTTTACCTTTCCAGAGGAGATCGAAGAAATACTTCGAGTCTTTGAACTCTTTTGACCATCGCTTTACAAATGCAAAAACGCCTTTGGCTTTATTGACTGCAACATTGATATTATGGTTGAAATTGAGTTTGGAATCCATTGTGATACCAAGATCGAAAAAATTGGATACCTTCTCCAGATTATATTTTGAAATTGAATAAACAGCTGGTTGAACTACCCTTCGAGAGAAACACATAACATTGCATTTTTTAAGGTTATGCATTACACCAACTAACCACGTTGCTCAGATCCGCTTGTAACAAAGACCTTTCTTCGATAGAGGACAATGTTTTAAAAAGTGACACATCATCGGCATACATTAAAATTTTAGAATATTTTATTATAGAATAAATATCATTAATGAATATCAGGAACAGAATCGGACAAAGGTGACTTCCCTGAGGAGAACAATTATTAAAAATAACTCTATTGAAGAAGACTTGGCTGAAATCCGATTAGGTAGAGTTTACGGATGAGTAACGAGTGACATACTTTGTCAAAGGCTTTACTGAAATCGGTGTATATATACGGATGAGTAACGAAATCGGTGTATATTACGTCGGTATGAGCATTTTCTGTAAACCCGTTTGAGACATAAGTTGTGAACCCCAATAAATTAGTGATAATAGATTTCCTTTAGAAACCCCTTGTTGAGATTGTGAAATTGAAGAAGATATCAGCTGATTAACAATAATTGCTTCGAATAATTTGGGGGTAGCAGAGAGCTGCGCTATGCCTCGATAGTTTTCTATAGAAGACCTGCTGCCGTTTTAGTGAAGTGGTATTATGAAAGATTCCTTCCAAGCTGATAGAAAAACGCCATGTTTTAGTGACAAGTTGAATAGAGTTGTTAAAGGCTCACAGATATTCTCAGCTCAGTTTTTAAGAAAACAGGTCGGAATATGATCAGCTCCAGGCCTAAATGACACTTTTAAGGTTTTTAAATAGTGTAAAACTTCATCGGAAGAAATTACTGGAATAAAAGCTGAGTTAATTGTACCAAGTTCATACGGGTAGTCTCCACTTGTAGAGGAGTCTACCGAATAATTGGACCTAAAGAACTAAGCAAACATGTTGGCAATGAGTTGGCTGTCGCTAGACACAGTATTTGCGATAGTGCATAGCGGACGGAAATCCATGTGCCTTACGCTTTGAATTTACAAAACCATAAAATGATTTAGGACTGTTAATTAAATTCTTTTTAGCGTTTCTTATTTAATGCAAAGTAGCTATGCCTTAAAACCGAGTACTTTATGTAATCACTGTGTAAGCCCGTTCTTTTATACAGTTTAAAAGAATGCGACTTTTTATTTTTAAATTTTTTTAAGCTCTTTAGTGAACCATAATTGTTTTGGTTCAATGATGACCAATATTACGTTTTGGCACATACTTTCGAAGCAAATTGACAACAGTATCATTAAAGTGCTCAAGGCTACGCTCCACGTCATCTCTATATATTGGCCAAGATTACTTTGAAAGTTCTTTGTTAATTTGAAATTTGCTTTCGCAAAAACATATCTAGTACTTTTCTCCTGGATAGGATATGGTGACAATCAGGCTGGAACGAGAGGCTGGAGAACTCTGGCTAATATCCGCCTATATGCCGCACGATGACGATGTGGAGCCAGCTCCAATGCTGCTGAGGAGCGCTCTAGCGGAAGCCAAGCGACGGAAGGCTGGCGTGATCTTGGGGTCCGATAGGAATGCGAGGCACTCAACTTGGGGTAGCTCGAAAACAAACTTGCGAGGTGAGTCACTTTTTGAGTTTGTTCGAAGTGAAAACTTACATATCTGTAACAGGGGAAATTCCCCTACGTTTATTACTGCTGTCAGGGAGGAGGTTCTTGACTGACTTCTTCTGAGACAGCACCTTTGATCTCGGACTGGAGGGTTCTAAGCAAATACTCTATTTCGGATCAAAGGTGTATTCAATTCTCTTTGGACGAAACGCGTCCTCCTAGCAAGGCCTTCAGGAACCAGAGGAGCACAAACTGGAATCTATATATCAGGAACCTTCGCGGAGTGCTCCCTGATGCGCCAGAACCAAATTCTGTGCAATCGGTGGACTCGCTGGAGGAGCTTGTTGAAGTTTTCAGCTCAGCTTGCAGGGATGCTCTTGAAAGCGCATGTCCGCTGAGAATTCAGAAAGGCAGAGGGAAACCCCTTTGGTGGACTGTGGAGCTCTCTGAGTTAAGGGCGTCGAGCAGACGACTTTTCAATAGGGCCCGTAGGAGTAAGTTGTCTTCTGATTGGAAGCTCTATAAGGTTGGACTAGGAATCTACAAGTCCGAGATAAGAAAGACAAAAAAGGTCTTTCTGCGAAAACGTTGAAGGGTGTCATGAATCATCCAGATTTAGGCGTATTCTCGCTATGAGTCCTGCGCCGCTGGGTTACTTGAGGGATGAGGCAGGACACTGCACTATGAGTAGCGAGGAGCCGCTTAGCTTTCTCCTGGATACTTATTTTCCTTCCAATCCCTCCCCGTGGAAATCTCTTTAAGGGAAGTTCATCCCGAAGGCCGGAAGGAGCTCTCATGTTGCCCCCAAGGAATTCAGGCCAATCAGTCTTTCAACGTTTCTACTGAAGACGTTGGAGAGGCTGGTTGACATGCACATAAAG